GCCTCCAGCCATTTCAAACGTTAAAAAATCACCTCGCCTGAGATTGCTCCAAAAGGAGTTCTTTGGATTACAGTAGAGACCTCAAGTCGGAGCCGCCAGGTGCCTGAAAGCCAGGGCGCTAGACTTCGTCTTGAGGTCTGTGTCCTTCGCACTTCTGCCTGGCTGCTGAGCGAGGCCCAGAAACCACCGAGTCTGAGGCGATGGAGGCCCAGGCCCGGACTCCTAACCCCAGTTCCGATTGACTCCAGCGATTTGGCGGGTCTAGTCCCCGTGTTTTGCCCCGATGTGGTCCCATTAGGCGCCTATGGAAAGGTGTGCGCCCCAGCCCTGACTCCGGCGCCCAGGGCCCCCTTGTCTTGCACGGTCCCCTTCCCTGGACAGGTTCTCACGGGATAGCTGGCCTCCCCTGCATTTGGCTTAGCAGAGAAGGCGGCGACAGTCGCGTCAGCAGTTTGGAGGAGAAAGTGCGGTTTGATTATTGACCCACGCCTTCTTTCTTCAAATGCCACATCCGACCAGGCACTGGTTTGAAGAGAAAATGCCGGCGAGCGATTTTTGCTGCCGGCTTCACCTCCTACGCGTCCATGCTCTCCCTTTCATGTTGCGCCGCTGCAATATGCCATAAGGAGCAAGTGTTTGCTGTTTTGTGCTCTGTTTACAGCTTTGGGGCGTCGAGTCATAAATCTTGCCCAGCCATAAATGACAAAAACTATTGGTATGCATGAGGCCACCCTGGCCCGGAGTGCTTTTTGATTTCTCCCTTTTCTCCTGGCTTTGTTTTTGCTTTAAGGTGACACTTTGGCTCCCTGACAGTTTAAACATACTACTTATATTTTTAACACCTTCCTTTGAGAAGGACCGGCAGTTGACACCTTGGAATTGCATGAAAGCTCCATTTCTCTCTTTGCCACACACATACCCTTGCAGTTTGCTTCAGAACCTGGGGATGCTGAGGGAGGTTTTAAAAAGGAGGAACACCAGTATCTTTAAAGTTATGCCTATGTTACCGCTCCTTTCCTCTGCTCAGCTCAAGGTTCTCCACCTCACAAATTACGAAAGAAAATACCATAAGTGTTGATTTATGTTGGGTCAAAGCTTTATCTGTGAGTGAGCTGCATGTCTGGTACTGTGAAATGGGTATGGAAAGGTTAGGCACCCAGCTCCTAAGCATCCTTGCGTCTCTCTGTGCCCAGAGCATCCCATTCCACTACCCAACCAAGATGCATCTCCCCCAGGTAATTTCCTTCCTAGCTCCCATAATTGCAATTATTTCGGCCTAATTAAATAACCAAGGGTAGTCCAGAATGGCTCCTGGGTAGTTTTCTGGAAAAAGGAGGTCCTATTCCACCTCCCCACACACACATTGGGTTTGGGGTGCCTAGACTAGGGTGGCAGGCAAGTTAAGTGGCCAAAGTCTGAAGAACTTCCTTCTCTTGGCACTCTTTTCCTTCTCCCCACAACTGGAGATGCCCAGAGCAGAGGGTTATGTGGTTCTCAAACAGATTCCTGAGAAATAGAACCCGGCAAGAGAGCCCCTTTGTGAGAGCCGTTTGTCCTCATTAGCATAATTTCCCTGGACTTTAGTGACGCCTAGGAGCTAGCAAAGGGAGGGCGGCGTTGGGGGCTGGGGGAGGCTGTCTTCCTCCTGCCGCCACCACGCTCCCCCCTCGCTCCTGTTCCTCCCCTAGTCTCAACCCCCATCCCCC